CCGGGGGGCCTGGGGGACGGGGTCCCCGCGCCCCAGAAGGTGCTCTTCCCCGTGGAGCGCCTCTCCATGAAGTGGGAGAGGATCTACCGGATCGGTGCCGGGCTGCAGAACCTGGGGAACACCTGCTTCCTCAACTCCACAGTGCAGTGCCTGACCTATACACCGCCACTCGCCAACTACCTGCTCTCCAAGGAGCACAGCCGCACCTGTGAGTGGGGAGGGCCGGCTCGGTGGGGGGCAGGAGGGCCTGCCTGTCCTGCTTCCAGTGCTACGCTCAGCATCTCTGCGCATGGCTCTGGCGAGGGCTGTGCAGGTGTCGGGATGCACCTTCTCTACTCCCTCCTGCCCATTTCTCCATTCCGAGGTCATTCCTGCATACGGCTTGCTTTTCCTGGCTGTAGCAGTGTTCTGAGCTCTGCATCCTGGTGTCTGGGAAGGCTTTGTCTCTGCTGGGCGTAGCCAGGACTAAGATGGGTCCAACGGGTTCTGCTGGAGTCCTGGGGGTCCCAAACAGCCCCTGCCTGTGGGGACTGTGTGAGGGCAGGGCAGAAGGCTGTGTACAGGCAGCGGGTGCTGTTTATGGGTGTCTTTGAAAGGGAGTCTGGTGGGCACTGCTCTGAGCTGTCACCAAGGGGAGCATGTGGGGCGCTCAGCCCCATCCATAGGGCTGCAGTGGGATCTGGCCTCAGGGACAACCTGTGGGCTCCTCCCGTGAGTGCCATTGACCTGATTTCCATCGACGTGGATGCTGCCTTGCCTGGGGGGTTGCAGTGGCTGGTACTGTGACTGGGGCTGCGCCAGCCGGGGTGGGGTGTGCTGGTCCCTGTGTACCCGGGATGCCCCAGAGTTGGGCAGAGCTCGTAGGGAAAACTGAGTGTGCCTGAGCTGTGTTGGTCCAGAGATACCCTGTACTGCCTCTGTCTCTTCTGGGTTTGTCCCCAATGTCCTGTCTTGTCTCCTGCTCCAGGTCACCAAGGAGGCTTTTGCATGATGTGCGTTATGCAGAACCACATGATCCAGGCTTTTGCCAACAGCGGCAACGCAATAAAGCCAGTGTCCTTCATCCGAGACCTCAAGAGTAAGGATGGTTGCCCTCCCCTTCCCTCTCGTAGCCATGCAGGAGAGCAGTGACTAAGGCAGGAGCGGAACCTTTGAGATCAGGACAGGTCTTGGCAGACAGCTCTGCTGAGATGACTCACCGAGCCTGCCAGGGACTGGTGACTTCATGGGCTGCGTGGGGCTTCCCTGTGGGGCTGACATCTGGTTTGGGTTGAGGGGGCTCAGACCCCAGAGTCCTTGCCCCGAGGGAGGGAGGGCCTGCGTCTGTTGCAGCACGGGCCAGGGCTGATTCCTCCCTCTCCTGCAGAGATTGCCCAGCACATCCGCTTCGGCAACCAGGAGGATGCACACGAGTTCCTGCGTTACACCATTGACGCCATGCAGAAGGCCTGCCTGAATGGCTGTACCAAGTACGTGGGGCCTCTGGTGGCCGGTCACTGCTCTTCTCCACTGTCCCCTCCCTGGTCCGCTGCGCCTGGGGGAGGGGACTGTGGGGACAACACGTCCCCCGGGTCGGACTCAGAGGGAGGTACTGACTCCAGGGGCCTTGGGTGGATGTGACACAGCTCTGGGCTGTTGTCTGCCTTCTCCCTTCTCCTGACACCTCCGCCCCAGCATAGCTGTGGTCCTGTCTCCAAATCCTGAGGCTGCTGTGGGTTTGGATCTTGTCCCAGTTGCCGAGGAATCCGAGCGTGCTGCCTAGTTCAGCCCCAGCTCTGTGGCTGAGCAGCTTTCCCCTGCGCCCTCCGTCCTGGGAAGCCTGTGTTGCCTCTGTCTGCAGTGCCCAGCTCTGAGCTCCGGCCAGGAGTTTCTGCTCCTTCTAGAGGAAGGTGCACGTCGGAGCCTGGTGCCACCCCTTGAGCTCCGGCACTGGGAGAGCAGACTGGCAGAGGCTGCGACTTCCCTCTGCTCCCAGAGCTCTGCAGCCAGTCTACTGGCCAGAGCACGTCGGGGAGCTGTCCTGAGGACACAGCGGTGGCCCGCGGGGGTGGCTGTTGTGGCAGGGCGGTGTGAGATCCGGTGCTACTGTCTCTAGGTTGGATCGTCAGACCCAGGCCACGACACTGGTTCACCAGATCTTTGGCGGTTACCTGCGGTCCCGTGGTGAGTGCTGGCTGCCGGGTAGATCCTGGGCCTGTGACTCTCAGGGCTGCTGGTTCCCGGAGAGCTGTGCAGTAAAAATCTTTTGGGAAAATTGCTAAGTATGTGTAAATTATCCAGAGCTGCAGTTGGTCAGGCTTGTGGTACCTGTGGGTCATCACCCTTGGGGCGATGGAAAAAGCTGTTGGCTGTGGGTCCCCAGCTTATTGCCACTGGCAAAGGAACCCGTGTTGCCGGCTCTCTAGAAACACTTGCTGTCCCAGCACGGAGTGGAATTGCCAGCCTTCCTCCCTGCCAGGCTGTCAATCCTGGCGCTCGCATCCCAGAGCCCCAACCCGGAGTGGGGGAACACTGCAGCTGCCTGTGCTGGGTGGTGGCGGGTGGAGGTGTTGTGCCAGGGTAGGCTCATTGCCCTTTCGTTTGCAGTGAAGTGCTCAGTGTGCAAGACTGTCTCAGACACCTATGACCCTTACCTGGACCTGGCGCTGGAGATCAGGGTACGGCGGCAGGGTCGGGGACGGGGAGGAGCTCGGCTCTCATGGGGGATGTTTCTGCAACTGCACCGTTACCACTGTCAAAGCTCCTTAACCTGCCAGTGTCGAGGCACGGTGCCGGCAAGAGGGAAGCAGCAGCTTCTGTTGTTGCACTGCCTTCTCTGTCTGGCAGGGCAGTGCCCGTTGCCTGAGTGTGAGCCACCACTCCTCTGTTGAGGCTCCGTGGTGTTGGGGGGCAGTGCAGCCGTCCCTCGCAGCATGTTCGGCAGTGCCTAGGTGGTGGCAGGCTTGCGGGTTTAGTGTCATCTGTGGCCCTGTGCTTGTGCTCTGTGTTATCTCTCAGGGCCAGCTTCTCGGCAGGGAGCCGGGCTGTCAGGTGGACAAGCCACTCGTGCCCTGACCTCTCTCCTCTGTCCTTGCAGCAAGCCGCAAACATAGTGCGGGCGCTGGAGTTGTTTGTGAAGTCAGATGTGCTGGGCGGGGAGAATGCCTACATGTGTGCCAAGTAAGTGTGTGTGGCTGTGGGCGGGAAGGGGCCTGCGGGTGTGCTGGTGGGAAGCAGGTGGAAATCCTGCCACAATACGGGAGGGCTTCTCTACCTGCTCCACGGCTAAACCATGAGGTTCGTGGCCATGGAAGCCAGCGATAAAGCCTGCCACTCCTCAGCTCCCTCCTCTCGTGAGGAGGACC